ATCTGTTTGAGTTACGTCACCAATAGCTCAAAGCTTTGGTCATTAAGAGGCACAGATACCGTTCAATTTGTTCTTCTATTTTTCTTTCCTTTTGCCTTTCTTTCACATGCACACTTAAAAAAAAGCACAAGACCAATTTAGACTCAGAAATTATCTTATGTTATCAATTGATTAAAATCAGAAACAAAGAACACTTAGGAAAAATAAAATCTTCCCATAGTATTTTTTTAAACAACCCTACTACATTTCAACAACTTCTTCTTCTTTTTCCTCTTCTTCCTCCTCTTCTTCTTCTTCTCTTTCTTCAGATTTATTGACTTATTTGAAAGACAGAGTTCGAAAGAGATAGAAATCTTCCACCTGCTGGTTTATTCCAAACTTGGTCACAATGCCCAGCGATGGGCCAGGTCAAAACCAGGAGGCGGAAGCCAGGTGATCCCCCACATGGGTGACAGAGGCCACCCTCTGCTGCTGCTTTCTCTGTCACATTAGCAGGGCACTGCTTCGGAAGTGGTGTAGCTGACACTCAACTTGTCACTTACAAGGCAGCCTAGTCCACCACCCCACAATGCCAGCTGCTACATTTGGTCATCTTTAGTGTTGCAGTCAGAGCCGGAAATGGCTACCTCCCTTCCACACTGCAAGCAGAGGCAAGGGACAATTGGGCAGATTTGACTTCATGCCGTCTTTCCTTCCCTCTTGTGTTCCACAGGGCTGGGATGGGGGACTTCTGATATGGGGCAGACACTGATCCACATTTGGCAATGGTGTGAACTTTTGGGCAATTTCTGCTGTTCAGAAGAATCTGGCCTTCTCAGAAGGCAGCAGTTTAGAGAGTGGACTTGACTGTGTCATTGCAGATCTTAGCTCCAGAAGCACGTTTGAGCACCCTTTTTCACGGAGTCGGCTTCTGCACGGGGACCGTGCATCAAAGGACAGCCAGCGACTGAGCTGTCACGGCACAGCCTGCCTCTGTGGTCATGAGAGCCTGGTTGCTGCTGCCACATCCAAAATGCACTCACTCCCCTGGCCCCCTTGCCACTATTTCCAAGGGCCCAACTTCTCAACCCAAAGCAAGATGGGCAGCAGGCTTGAGGGCACGAGCAGGGGACACTAAGCTTTCATCCAAGTGAGATGTCCACCTCCTTGGAGGTGAAAGGAATCCCCTCCCCCGCCCCCACACACTGCTTTAGGCAAAGACAAGCACGGTTGTTATGGCAGGAGCAAGTTACCTCCAAAGTATGTCCTGAATGTGGGAGGCCACAGCAGCTGCCTCTCCTTGAGATGGCCAAGGGGTCCCTGCCAGCAGCCACAATGACTCGCTGGCCCTGGCCAGCTGTCACGCTTTGCATACCGCCGGAGCTCCAGCCTGGCACAAGGGACTGTCCAAGTCACCAGCTTCCATGCAGCCAAGAGCCGGTGCCCAGGCTGTGTCTGTATAGCCACCTGGAATGCTTCCGGCAGGCTGGGAGAGGTTTGACCCCCAGGCACACTGATCGGTGGCGTGTCCACTGGGCAGTGTGGTCTTGGCCAGGGAGGAAGGCTTGTTCTATTGCACGGAGAAGATGAGAGGAAATCAAGGGCTCATGGGGTTCCTTGGGGACACTCACAGTAAAGGAGTATTATTTGGTGGGAGGTTAGGGGACTGAAGAACAGCTCGCATGCTTCCATTTGTTAGATTCCCGGAAAGCCTCTCCTGTGGTCAGAAGCCGGGGGGGCGGGGAGTTGGGACAACTCTGACGTAGGCGTTAGTTTTTTTCTTCCTCATTCATTTCCTCTTCCTGCTGGAAGGCAGAGGCCCAGAGCCCCTGCCTGGGATGTGGGCACAGGAAGAAATTAGACCGGAGATCCCCTGGCACAGCTGGGAGATATTTGGAAAGCCAATTGCTGATGGCAGTGACTCTGTCTCTCCTGACTGATGGCACACAGCAAATCTATATCCTCTTGGGACCTCCAGCAGGGATTCCAAATGCCCACTGATGGTCAGGTGCAAACCAAATGGAAAAAAGTATTTGAAAGTGGATTGATTTCCCAGCAGGAGAAAGGATGATCAGTGTTGAATTGCCTGAATTGTACAAAGTTGGCACCTTGGTCTCTGTTTCTGTCTCTCTCTCTCCTTTCTACAGACCACAGTCTTGCTGGGGATTTAGCTCCTTCCTGCCATGGCTTCCTCTGTCTCTAAGTGAACTTCCCATAACCATGCTGGCCAGACTTCACTGAGGGCCACTCTTGGATAAAGGCACTGGTAGAAGCGTATGCATTTTAAGATATAAACCTTGGGGTTGGTGCCTCGGCTTAGCAGATTGAGGCTCCAGGGGCCAATTCAAGTGCTGGCCACTCCACTTCTGATCCAAATCCCTGCTGCTGTGCCTGGGAAAGCAGTGGAAGATGACCAAAATACTTGGGTCTCTGCAACCATATAGGAGACCACAGTAAGCCTGTGGCTTTGGACTGTCTCCGCTGCAGACATTATGACCATTTGGGGAATGAATGAACCAAAGGTGGCACTTCTCTCTGTGTGTCTCTTTCCCTGCAATTCTGTCATTCAAATAAAAAAATACATGTTCTTATAAAAATAGAGAGTGAGACTTTTGTTAGTGGAGATTTGAATCCCAATCTTAAATACCTACCTGGGCACATGGGCGCCGGGGAGCATGGTGAAATAAACAGGTGGTCCGGGCTCTCCCAGCAGCCCAGTGGAAGACACCGAGACAGGACCAATGTCATACGACACAAGCTGTGCAGAACCTGAAAATGAGGGTTTTTCAAGTGCAACAAAAGGAGGAAGAGGAGGACTCAACAAGGCTTCGAGAAGGACTTGGAGTGGAATCTGTGGCATGGGCAAGGATGAAGGCTGGAGGCAGAAGCCAGAAGGAGCCAATGGGGAGATATTGGCAGAAGGCAGCTGGAGCCAAACAGCCCCGCAATCCACAAGCCACAGCCAAGGGGCTCCTGGAACTGGATCAGTTCCCACGATGCACCCCTCTTCCTGTTCCAAGGATGGGTAGGTGACGCCAGCTTATTTCTTGGTTACCCTCCAGATGAACATTGCCAGTCAGACTTTCTGCAGTGTTGCAAATGTTCTGTCAGAGTCATCCACTGCTAGACCACTAGCCTTGCCTGAGACTGCTTTGCCCTTCAAGTAATGCTAACACATCCAGGAAGCTAAATGATCATTTTACATTCACTAATTTAAATATCCCGCTGTGGTCCATGACTGCCTCCTTGGAGGACCTCCTTGGGACACTTTGCTAGGATCTTATGGCAAGCTGCAGTAGTCTAGTGCTGGTACTGGGGACCCAAAACTCTCAGAGCCACCAAGGCATGCTCTTTGATTTAGGGAAGAGAAAAGCTCTGTCCAGCCCTCAACAGATAAGAGTGTGGGGGAGTGTTGTTTGGTTTCTGATAAGAGGCCAATTTCTGGAGTGAGCTTGCTTAAGCAGGAGTTGAGTCATGGCGGGGGAGGGGGGGAGGGCAGGGTGGAGTAGGGTGGGGGAGGGAAGGGATGGGGAGGCCAGAGCAGCTGCTGGGATGAACCTCCTGGGATGCCATACCCACCTTGGAGGACCTGGGCTGGGATCCTGGCTCCACTTCCTGTTCCAGCTTCCTGCTGATGCAGCCCCTGGGGGGCTGAGGGAGTCTGACCCCTGCCAGCCACCACAGAGGCCTAGAGGCAGTGCTGAACTCCTGGCTTCTGCCTGGCCCAGCCGCAGCTGTTGTGGGCATCAGGACAGTGAAGTAGCTGATGGGAGATCTCTTTTTTCCCTATCTCTAGCTTTTTCTCCAACGTGTGTGTGTGTATGTGTGTGTGTGTCTTAAAGATTGATTTATTATAAAAGTAGTCTGAGAGAGAGAGAGAGAGAGATTGATTTTTCATCCACCGGTTCACTCCCCAAATGGTCATAACCTCCAGAACTGAACAGGTCCAAAGCCAGGAGCCCAGAGTTTCTTCTGGGTCTTACCTGTGAGTGCAGGTGGGGGTCCTTCCTCTGCTGCTTTCCCAAGCACATTAACAGGGAGCAGGATTGGAAGAGGAGCAGCTGGGACTCCAAGTGATGCCCATATGGGATACCAGGTGCCTAGGCAGCGGCTTTACATGCTATGCCATTGCACAAGCAATATGTATAGCATGAACACATATCTTTTGGGGAAGTTTCTTACCCCAAGCCCCAAACCTCTTTAGTCCTTAAAAACGTTTTTAATCAGAGGGATGGAGAAGAGACCATCCACTAGTCAGTCATGAAGCTCAGAAAGTTAGTTCTGTGAATCTGGCAGGATAGAATGCTTTTTTCTTTTAACAGAAACATGTTACACCCATACCCACAGGAGCATACCCGCAATAGCCAAAAGGCAGAAGTAACTCAATTGCCCACCTGCAGATAAGCAGATACACAGAATGCGGTCTACAGACACAGCAGAACATGCAGCCTCAAAAAGAGGACAGAGTGCTGACACCTGCCAGTCACTGACATCAGAGTCTACACGACGCTGCGCGGAGCCTTGCATGGAGCTATCCACAAAGACAACGCCCAGCCGAGGCCGACAGCAGCTGGGGCGACAGAGCTGGGAGGCAAGGGGGTACAGAGCTTCCGTTTTTGCAAAACGAGGGGTTGTGTAACTACGTGGATGCTTTCAACACCTCTGAATCATACCCTTAAAGAGGACCAAGGTGGTCATTTCGTGATAAATGCCTGATCACAAAGTTTTAAACGCACATTTTTTAAAAAGCAGAGGTGCAAAGGAGCCTGCCAAGGCCTTTTTTTTTTTTTTTTAAGTTCTGGAACAGCCACGTCCTTAAGGTGGACAGGGCAAACGCTCCCCTCCCTGGTCTGTCCCCTGTCCGGCTGCTGGTCCTGGCGCACGGGGTGACCTCCCGGAACTGAGCCAGCCGCACCTCCGCGCTGACAGCCAATCAACGTATGACTTCGCTCGGCCTCGCCTCTCCATTGGCTGCGCGCCGCGGCCCCGCAGCTTCCCAAGCCGGGTTTAAAGGGGTGCAGCAGCGGCTGCCGCCCGGCCAGCAACTCCCACTCGCTGCTCGCCGGCGGGGAGGGGCAGCAGGTGCCACGGGCCCACCCCGGGGCGTTCCCACCGCCCCCAGATGTACTATGCGGTTTCCCAGACGCGCGTGAACGCAGCGGCCCCCGCGACCATGCTGCGGCCTCAGCGGCCGGGAGACGTGCAGTTCGGAACCTCACTGTACGAGCTGGTGGGCTACCGACAGCCACCCTCCTCTTCCTCTACCACCTCGTCCTCCCCATCCACGATGGGCTCCCTCCTCCCCAAGGCTGCTCGCGAGAAGCCGGAGGCGCCGAACGAGCCGGGGACCGGGGCGCACCCGGGGCCTCGCGCAGACTCCAAGGAGGAGCAGCAGCAGCAGCTGCGGCGTAAGATCAACAGCCGCGAACGGAAGCGTATGCAGGACCTGAACTTGGCCATGGACGCGCTGCGCGAGGTCATCCTGCCCTACTCGGCTGCGCACTGCCAGGGCGCGCCGGGCCGCAAGCTGTCCAAGATCGCTACGCTGCTGCTCGCCCGCAACTACATCCTGCTGCTCGGGAGCTCGCTGCAAGAGCTGCGCCGCGCTCTGGGCGAGGGCGCCGGGCCCACCGCGCCGCGCCTACTGCTGGCCGGCTTGCCCCTGCTCGCCGCCGCGCCCGGCTCCGTGCTGCTGGCGCCGGGCGCCGTGGGCCCCCCGGACGCGCTGCGCCCCGCCAAGTACCTGTCGCTGGCCCTAGATGAGCCGCCGTGCAGCCAGTTTGCGCTTCCAGGCGGAGGAAGTGGTGGTGGCGGCAGCGGTGGCGCGGGTGGCCCCGGTCTCTGCACCTGCGCGGTGTGCAAGTTTCCGCACCTGGTCCCAGCCGGCCTGAACTTGGCGACGGTGCAGGCGCAGTTTTCCAAGTGAGGGACCGGCCCTTGGGCGCCGACCTCAGCTCGGCCCAGTTTCTCCGCGCTCCGGTGCCCTGAGTTCAAGGAGAGTGAGACCGGCCTGGAAGAGTTTCGAACCTTTTCATCTTAGAGGAAGGGTCTGTCGGGCGCTCCTAACCATACGCACTCGTAGCAAGTGTAAATTACCCGAAAGGACGTTTTGTTAGAGCGTCAGTCTGGGCCGTTTTGGGGGGTTCGGGCTCGACTCCAGCTGCTTTGGGCAGTGAACGCGCCCCCACTGTTGTCGCCCGGCTCTCCTGTCTCCTGGCGCCGCGGTTACGCGCATCCGGGCCTGACGTGGGTTTCCGAGCGCTCAGTGTGATGTGTTCGGCTTGCCCCGCGTACAGCTGCGGCCTGCCCGTTGCGTGACCTCTTGGAGACCCGGCGGCTGCTGAGGGGGGGTGGTCTTTTCCTGCTCCCATTCAGAGGTCAGAAGCACCATGGTCTCTCCGAGCCCAGTCCGAGGCAGCCGGGTCATGCGGCAGGTGCTGGGCACGCAGGGAAAAGTCGGTGCGCGCCGGGGCAGCAGGGAAGGGCGCGGTCTCGACCTGTGCGCGTAGCTTCGGGGAGGCTTCGCCCTGAAAACCCGAGTCTTGGCTTGCAGCTGGAGATTTCGGCGTTCGTCTTCATCCCTCAGCGGTAGCCAACAGGTTAATCAACATCTGAGCGTGATTGGAAAACAGGCGCCGCGGCCGCGACTTACTAAAACAGTTGAGGACCGTAGCGGCTGTTTTCACAAAGTCGCTAATTAACTTTCCCTTTAAAGGACGCTGCGGGGAGCGACGCGGGGTCGCTCGCCCCGCGCCTGGGGGCGGGGTTCACCACGGACCCAGATCGCAGCTTCTCGGCAGGCGGGAAGAATCGAGAAGACTACAGGTCTTGTTACCTTACTAGCGAGCCTTTGCCGATTGTTTTTCCTCTAAATGATCTTATGATCTTTGAGCAGCTTGGGTGTGTGTGTAGGTGTGTTTGGGTGTGGGTGTGAAAGGATTTCGTTGTTTTCGTGAACCAAATGTACCATTTTCTTTCCCTTTAACGTTGATTTCTTGCGTTGTACAGAATCAAAAATAAATAAATAAATAAAACACTGAAAAGCAGAGTTGGACGTGTGTGGTCTGATTTGGGTGATAAAGTGAAATAGCCTCTTAGGGTGATTCAATGATACAACTTTCTGATTTGCAAAATGACCCGGGAAATAAGCCACTGTCGGCCGGAAATGGAAGGACTCACAGGTGAGCAAGTCAGAAGAAAGCAGGAATAGAGATTTGTTCTTAGGAATTTGATCTTAGCCAATCGGAGAGAGTAGGTCTTTGGAAACTATGACTTCCTTCCCTGAAAAGTGGGCTCTAAAAAGATGCCCGCGTATCACAACAGCATGCTGAGTTCCAACAGCGCTTTTCTGTCTGCTGGGACAGATCCAATACAGTGGGTCACACAGGTCTGAGTGGTTCCCATCAAGCAGTTGGATTAAGGTTGGAACTGTCTGCTCTGAGACTAAGGCTTTTAATGCTCAGGGGAGACATTTCTGCCAGGTAGCTGGCTCACCTGTCATTATTTGTCTACACAACTCAAGCCATTGTTTGGCCTGAGGTCATGGCCAAGACACACCTGGAGGCTTTTAACCCGAGGAAATTAAGGAACAACCAGATGAGGTGTCTAAGTTGATTTTATCCACATTGTGTGAAGGGGGCCTCAAAAGTTCTCAGGAAACGGAATTAAAAAGTAAGCTCACTGTAGTGCAAATAATAATAATAATAAATTTTTAAAAAAGGAAGGTTGGACTCCATGTCTCCTAGGAATATTCAAAAAGTTTGGCGAAAGCACTTCTAAAAAAACAAAACTATAGATCTTGATTTGGTAGAGGCACCAAGATAAAATTGTCTCTTTTTCCTCTCTTTTATAATCCATCTTTTTATATTTTAGCTTTTCCTGTTAATATTTTCCATGATACAGTTCAAAAGATCTTGAGATTCCCCCCTCCATCTCCTTTTCCCCCCTCCCCAGTCTCTGCCTTCCCCAATTCCCCCCATATTATTACAACAGTACACTCCTTCAGCAACAGTCTCACGTCCAATACTCTGCTGCTTTCCTGTGTCATGACAATGCAGGTGTGGACAATGGTGGAAAATCTAGTATCACATTTTATTTAGAGACGTATAGTGCGATTTCTTTACATTTCTCTTGAGCTTTTTTGGAGGACCAGTACACACACGCGCATGCACACACACACACACACATGTTTAGGGAAGATGAGATCCATACTGAGAACATGCAAAGACACGGGTGTGCCCCTTCAGGCTCCCTGTGTTGGTTTCCCTACTAGGGCACAGGAAAAGGTGTGCAGAAGGAGAACTAAGGACCAGCTCCGTCATTCTTCCTGCACTGCCACCTGCATGTTGCCTGCTTTGAAAAGTCTACGTGTGACCCGGCCTTGTGTCATTCAATTATTGCATCTTCAGCAGGGACAGAAAGGAATGGAAAATATAGCATAAGGCCCATTGAAGTGCTCATTAAATACATAAATAAATATATATATACATTATAAATATATAATGCATATGATATTACTTATTATATATGTGTTTATGTATGATTGGAGTAGAAATGAACAGTTCCTGCCACAGTCACACCCATAGCACCTGAATGGCACTGTCATTCCGAAGCCAAGTCTAGAGGAGCAGGAGGCGCAGGTCATGAAGGGCGGGCCCTAGAACGTGGCATTTCCCTTCCTCTTTCTCCTCTTGCAAACTGGAGTGAGCAACTATTCCATATAGGAATGCCAACACTCTGTATGGTCTTGATGCAACTGAGAAAACCACACTATCACATCTTTCTGAAGTACCAAAGATTATGAATGAATTTACCAAGGAAAGTCAGGGCTATTTGAAGTGCCAACAAAAATATTGACATTATCTGTTTGCATTTAGTATCTTATCAGCCATGGTACCAAACAAGATTAGAGATTTGTGTTCTAAAAAAGATGACACTCAAGAGTCCTGTCCAACGAAACAGAGAAAAGGAAATTGTGTTTATTTAGGGTGTCAGTTTCACAACATGAGACCTGCTGAACAAGGTATAGTGCAGGTGCAAGATGAATTCTTCGATGTGTATGTTCTAGAACGTGGAGTCACTTTGTAAAATCTGCAGTGCTGAGCCCTTCCAGCAAAGGGGCTAGCTAAACTGCCCTTGTCTTTCAAATTTCTCTGGAGCAGAATCCATGCAGAAGGAATGAGGTTAAGCCGGCCTTTGCAAGGCAGGTGGGGAGCAGAGGCGGGAGGCTCTTTGGAACCTGGACACATGCCTGGTGGCCTCAGAAGTGGAATAAGAAAGAACATGTGACTCCCTGTCAGACAACACATGACTCACTGCCTGAAAAGGTCCCTGCATCCAAGCAGCCTCAATATGCAGCAATTCTAGCAGACGGAATCTAAAGGGAAAACAGAGAAAGGCCCAAGAAAATAGGTTACTTTGGAGGCCAGATGAGCAGTCAGTAAACAGAAGGCAGGGTGAAGGTTCCCTCTGTGGCAGCTGTGGTCTATTTATGGGCATTCTCTAAGGGAGATGGGCTGCAGCAGATACAAAAATACAACCTGGGGAAATGTAGAACTGAGTGGCCCCAACAGGCAAGAGGCTCCACCTTGGGCATGGAAAAGCTTGCAATTGATCCAAGTTTAACTGATGAGCAACTGTGCCTTCAGGTAGCCCATTGAGTTCAGGGATTTTTCCATAGGTTGTTGAGGCTGGGCGCAAGTTGGCAACCAACACTGGCAGCCTCAATCTGCCCCCTGAATCACCTAGAACCTTCTGTGGATGGAGGAAATCACCTGGAACAAGTAAGTACTCTGCTACACCTGGGGATGCCATGAGCTTGCTGAGAGCGAGGTGGCAGCTGGAAAGAAGTATATTTCCTCTTCTCCTGGGGAAAGTAATTTGCTGGCTGCCTCATCCCACCCCCTTACTTCTACACACCCAATGGTCCAGTAACAAGACTGCCACATGAAGTAGGTGGGCACAGCAACAAGCTGAAATGTGCTTTTTGACACACAAATTTGCTTTTTGTCAAGCAGCTTTTAGTGGGAATGGAGGGATTTTCACTTGAATTGCTGTTTTCATGCAGGTTCCAGTTTATACTACCAGAACTCAAATCAGCTTGTTCTTGACATGGGAATTGACAGGTATCCTAGAGTGACCTCCTTTTCATCCTGCGGTGTTAACAGGTTGTATTACAAAGCTATAGGTGTATGACACCTGTATTGGAGGCGGAGAGGACACATTTTTTCTTTCAGGCCAGGCTTCCACCAGAACCACAGAGGGCACAGCCCAGGATTAAGCTCACAGGTGCCAAAACCCATCCCTGAGACCCACAGAATGCCAGCAGCGGGCAAGAGGTCACACGAGTCACCCATTCGTCTCCTTGGTGCCAAATAAAGCAATTGAGAGACCCAAAAAGTTCAGAAGACATGTTTAAGGCCACACAGTGGTCAGATGTGGCATTCCCAGGGACCAGCACCTGCTGCTTCTGGGAAGCTGAAACTGCTCCCACAGAGTCAGCAGAGCAGGAGTCACCCCCACCTGAACTAGAGGTCACTGACCACTGACCTTTTCCAGTCTTGCAGCTGAGCCCTCTCTCTGGCACTGTCAGTGGCATCCAAGACAGGGACTTGGGCCAATCCCTTGCCGGCTGACCTGGCCCAGCTGTGATGTGTCTCCCCTTGCACTTTCTTTAGCAGCCTTGTCCTCCCCACCCTCTTACCCCAACCCCAAGAGAGGCTTGTATGAGTGACAGGGAGCAGTAGAAGCAAGGCAAGCCCCAGGTGACACTTGATCAAGAGGATTGCAGCAAGTGAGGCAGCAGGCAGCTGATAGGGGTGGCATCTCCGTGTTGCCATGGGGACTGGCACAGGTTGACCCCTGAGCATACTGATGGCCATACATCTCCAGGGGGCTTCTCCGCAGCCCCGAAGCACCCCTGGGGCAGAGAAGACTCCTCTCTCCCTGCATCTGCAGTGCCACTTAGAGGGAGCCCCCGGGGGACGCCTGGAGAAACCTCAGCCCAGATCCTAGCACAACTGTTTGCCCCCAGAAACTTGCAGGGAGTGTGGGTAACTCCTTAGAGATGTGGAAACAATCCAATCTGAAGAGAAGACCCACCTGGGGGAGGGGAGGGTTCCCAGGAAAAGCAAGGCAGGTGGATCAAAGGCCCAGCCCAGCAGGATGACATGGCGAAAGCAATGACATTAATCCTAGCTGATAGTATTTACTGGGGCCAACAAGGATCTAGGCACTTAACTAATGTGACTTCCTTCATGTTTGTAGGCATTCTGTGGTACCTTCCCTACTTGACATGTGACAAAAAGGAAGTGGGAAGAGATGGAGACAAAGGCAGCTGAGACCAGGGAAGGGGAGACCTGGAAACCAAACCCTGCTTTGTATCAGTGGGAGGCAAAGCCATTACTCCTGTAATATAGGGAGTGTGTGTGTGTGTGTAGGTGGAGGTCTTTTCCTTGGTTCTCCTTGGCTCACCTGTGCCCCAGTCCCACTGCCCTGCCATTTTTGTGGTGCACCTGATTGCCATACCACTGAGGTTTAGACACGCTGAGGGGCACAGCAAAGAGACTGCACCTGATGCCAAAAGACCTTGTGCTTGTTCAGGCCATTCCCCTGGGGCTTTTTGTTTGCTTGCTTCAGTTGGTGCGCTTGTTAATTTTTTTAAAAAAATTATCTTTACTGAGCACAGTACAGTGACTCAGTGGCTAAATCTGCCTTGCAATCATTGGGATCACATATCGGCACCAGTTTGTGTCATGGCTGCTCCACTTCCCATCCAGCTCCCTGTTTGCAGCCTGGGAAAGCAGTGGAGGATGTTCCAAAGCCTTGGGACCCTGCACGCGTATGGGAGACTGGCTTTGGATCAGCTCAGCTCCAGCTGTTGCGGTCACTTGGGGAATGAATCAGCAGACAGAAAATCTTTTTCTCTGTCTCTCCTTCTCTGTGAATTTGACTTTTCAATAAAAATAAATAAATCTTTTTTAAAAAGTTCAATCTCTAGCTTTTCCACAGTGCATGCACATTTTCCTTGA